GGATCACCAAAGAACCGCCCAGCCCGCCCACCGAGGTCGAGTGTCACTAGAAAACCGCCCAGTTCACGCTCGATCCAGCCTTCAACGTCACCTGGATCCGAATCACCATTCACGAGACGGAGGCCGCCGATGTCCACGACACGCTCCAAGAGCAGTCCACCAAACAATACTCAGGAGCTGCCCCTGCCAACACGTCTGGACGAGGAGAAGGAGAGAGAGAGAGAGAGATAGGATAATAAAAAACAACAAAAAAAATGACGATTTCGGTTCTCATGAAAGTCTTCGGCAGCTCCTCAGGTCGGGGATGGGGCCTCGAGATAACTGCCTGCGAGGAGTTAGCGAAGGGGGGCCTGGAGATTTCTGGAGGTTCTGTGTGATCTGGGAGCAAGGGAGGAAGAAGAAGAGGACGACGACGACGACGGGAGCGCCAAGGATGGCGAGACACCACCTGACAGGACAGGACAGCGCACAGAAGACAGCCACGGGATCCAGAGGCACCCGCTATCACGGAGCACACAAAAAAGCAGACGGCTCTGAGAGCCGTCCGCGGCAGGCACAGAGGCCAGGCGGAGCCTGGGCTAGCTGGTGGGCGTGTTTTCCACCACCACCACCATCAGTTGGAGGGGGGGTCCTCCTCCTCCTCCTCCTCCTCCCTCCTCCCTCCTCCTCCTCCTCCTCCTCCTCCTCCTCCTCCTCCTCCTCCTCCTCCTCCTCCTCCCCCCGCTGGCGGCCTGCTGACCCGGGCCTCTGCGGGGAGCGGGAGCGGGAGCGGGAGCGCCGAGGTCGGGCACGCTCCACTCGGGGGGCCCGCCCGTGCCCCCTCAGGGCATGGCGCGGAGGCCGTGGCCTCGAGTATGATTTGACTACCTACCAGACCACCCCAACCCGACCCGAAGGCCCGAATTTCGGGTTGGGGGGGGGTAAGGGTTCCATGCGTGTTTTTTCGACGTTCCCGGACCCCCCCCCCACTAGAAATCGAGGGTAAATCTGAGCTTTCGGGTTGGGTTGGGGTGGTTTGGTGGGTGGTGATGATCAGCCTCGGAGTTCGTTCGTGGAAGATGATCCTGTCCAAGCGATCTGGTCAGTCGCATAGCGAACGTGTGGATTCCTCCGCCTCGCTCTGACTTACCATGGGGTAATTCCCCATACAGCGATGGCTGCACTGGCATCATTGGAAGCTCCATGCTCGTCCCGGGTATGCGACAGGCGAGGAATGCGAAGGGCCGTGGCTCGTATGCCAAGGAGAATCGTTTAACATTGACCATTCGCTTCCAAAAATGATGGGTGCAGCCCGCACGAACATGAAAGCCCGTGCAACACAAGTTCCCCCACTCGCAGTGGATTTTTGGTGCAGCACGTCTGTTCACACATGCGGCAAGCAGGACACTGCTCCGAAGCCCGTAATTATGCGGCCATCGTCAAGACTCGGGCTCCGCCGCTCTCCGTCGGGGCACGCCTCAAGGGAACTCCCGAATCCTGCTCCGCGGTCTGCCTTCCGAGACTTCTCTCGACAGGCGACGCTGCTCGCGTAAAGTGCGCCGGGCCACACGCCCGTGGCACGTGCAGTCGCTGAGTTGACAACGCTGCATCCAACACTGCCTTCGATCGTGCGTGGTCGGTCCAGGAAGCGCCCCCCGGTGCCCACTGACAAAGAAACCGCCGCCACCGGTGTCGCGATTAAATTGGCCTCGCGCTGAGAGGTGACAGCATTCCATGCCTTGGCATCCTCTTCGCAGGCCTTGACGTATTTCTGGAGTGGTGGACACTACGTGCTCGACTAAGCACTGTATGGTTGACAGCCGCTGCTCCGCAAATAGGCAGAACACATTGTATCCGAAGCCAAAACATTATGCTCACGAGGAGTCTGGTGAGGCAGAGCTGACAAAGAAGTGGGCCGTTCAAAACCCCCGCTTCTGCACAGAGCATGTCAGATTGCCACCCGTCTGTCTCTGAGCTTCCGCATGACACTCGTTTGCCTTGCCACTCATTTGCCATCCGTTTGCCACCCGCATGTCGTACTGCCGCCAGCGAGTGCCTTGGGTGAGAAGGGTGGCGGGAAGAGCAGAGAAAGGGGGAGGAGAAAAAGACCACCTCCTCCACCATTGTCCTCCACCCCTTAGCTGTTTTGCCACCTCCTCTTCCTCCTGCTGTTGCTCCGCCTCCTCCTCGTCATCATCCCTCCACCCCCTCCGCGTCCTCCTGCCCCATCCGCATCCTCAGCATCGTCGTCATCGTCAGCAGCATCATCCACAGAAGAAGAATCGCCATCGTCGTCAAAGTCAGCAGCATCGTCGTCATCATTGTCCTCCCGGCTTCTCCTGCTCTTCCCCGCATGCACTGTGTACCAGGCTGGAAGGTCGGGGGCCGAGACCAGCGCCTGACTTCCTCGCCGTTGAAGTGGGGCGGATTCTCGCCCCAGTTGTCGACCACTTCCTTGTACCTGGCAAAATGGACTCCTACTCTTCCTCCTCCTCCTCCTCCTCCTCCTCCTCCTCCTCTTCCTCCTCCTCCTCCTCCTCCTCCTGTTCCTCCTCCTCCCGCTGTTTTTCCTCCGCATCCTGGCCCTTGGTATCCTCTTCATCCTCCTCCTCTTTCCCCTCCCCTATTTTTTATATTCCTCCTCCTCCTCCCCCTCCCTCCTCCTCCCACATCATCATCATCATCATCATCATCATCATCATCATCATCATCATCATCATCATCATCATCATCATCATCATCATCATCATCATCATCATCATCATCATCATCATCCTCATCCTCATCATCATCATCATCATCATCATCATCATCATCATCATCATCGCCATCATCAGCATCATCAGCATCATCAGCATCATCATCGTCATAATTATCAGCATCATCATCATCTTCTTAATCATCGTCATCATCATCAGCATTATCATCACCATCACCATCACCATCACCATCATCATCATCATCAGCGGCATCATCATCATCAGCATCATATTCATCATCATACTCGTCATCCGCATTGTCATCATCATCAGCAGCAGCATCATCATCAGCAGCATCATCAGAATCATCATTATCATCAGCATCATCAGCATCAGCAGCAGCATCTTCAGCATCAGCATCATAACCATCAGCATAATCAGCAGCATCACTATCAGTACCAGCACCAGCAGCATCATCATCAGCAGCATCATTTTCATCATCATAATCATCGTCGTCGTGGTCGTCGTCACTACCATCGTCACCATCAGCATCATCATCAACAGCAGCAGCATCAACATCACCACCACCATCACCGCAGCATCACCTTCATCATTTCACCACGATCATCACTACACCACCATCACCACCACAACAACAACCACAACCACCGTCATCACGATCAAAATGATCAATACCACCATCATCTGAATCCTCCTCGCCATCACACCACCGTCATCATCATGATCGCCTAAGCCCCCCTCCATGTCCGCAACTGCGCCGAAGGCACTGAGTGGAGAGTCCTCAGGTCCATTCGACTTCTCTGCACTTAATCATCTGAATCCGTCACCGTGCCGCTGGGCACGGAGTGGGCGTGTCGTCAGGTAATTTGCCGAATCCCTCGAGCACTCCTCAAGAACCTTTAACGGGCCTGGAGCCCAAACTCACAAATCTCCTGGGCCTTTTCCGCGTTTTCTCTGGGCTTGTCGCGCGACCGCTTCAGGCCCAAGAGTGCCCCAAGACGGGCCAAGAGAGCCGTCAAGACGGCCCAAGAGGCCCCGAGTCGCCGACCGATCGCTCCAAGACTCTCAAGATGACTCCCAGACGGTCCAAGAAGCCTCTCAGACGCCCCAAGGCGCCTTCAAGATGCATCCCAAGAGGGCCTCAAGAGGCCACAATTATGGATGCGCCTTTGGTGTTTGAAGATTGTTCGGCGCCCTCGCCTTCTCGGCTCCCCGAGAGGCCCCCAAAGGTCCCAAGTGGACCCCAAGATCGCGCCGAAACTGCGAGAGGAGCGATCGGGCAGCGCTACCAGTCTGCTATACCCACCCCCTGCGGGATGGCGCCTGCATAGGGCACAAGGCCGCAGGACACCCCCCAGAGACGCGTGTGCCTTGAGGGTCACGCACAGAGAGGAGTCTGCAGGCGTCGCCACCGGCCTGGCCTGGGACGCCCCCCACACCCCCCCCTTACGACACGCGATCACGCACGTCATCGGGCGGCGGAAGTAGAACAGGAGATGGAGCAGACCTGGCTGGGCAGACCTCGCAGCGACAGCAATCCAGAAGAGGCGGTCGGAGAGAAGCGTCAAAATGTGCACCTGGGGGAGACAGAGACCACAAGATGGACGTGTGTACACGACGTCACAATGGGCACCTGAAAGCACAGTATGAACAGGATATAGATTGCGGGCTGGCCAACCACTTTGTAGGAGAAGAACAGGAAATGCACCTGACGACAACGACCGAGAAAGGAAGCAACACTGAGAGAGTGTCTCTCGACTGACACCTGTGCGAAAGCAGAACTAGAGGAGGGAAAGGTAAAGAGAAACAGGATGAGGAACATGTCGATATGCACCTGCGGGGAGGCAGCGAGCTCGACGCGACGACCCCCCCGACGAGAGACGACATGGCAAGAGAAAAGATAAGACAATGATGAGGAGGAACGTGTCGATATGTACCTGTGGGGAGGCGCAACAATGTGAGCTCGACACAAGTCCGCAGGGCTCAACTGCCCACAGGTCCTGGAGCACCGACAGATCGGCCCCCCCGACACGAGACGACACGATAGAATAGAAAGAAGGAGGAAGACAAGAAAGACGGAGATGCGTTGCCCCCGCCCAAAATGGGCTGCTCTTGTCGATTGGGGGCGCCGGCTCCGCCCAAAATGGGCTGCTCTTATCGACAAGAGCCGGGCTCTGGCCACCTCGAGCACCTGTTTTCGTGCTCCTTTGCAAGAGGTGCCAGTTTGCGGGGCCGTGACCCCCCCGCAGAGGTTTCTGACTTGTCCAGGAGAAGGTTGGAGAGGGAGGGGGGGCCAGACCCGACTCCGAGGAGACGTGGGGAGGCGAACTCCCACGACGCCCAGAGGCTGCGGGACTGAACCCACCAGAAGAACAGAGGAGGGAGGGGCCAGACCCGACTCCGAGGAGACGTGGGGAGGCGAACTCCCACGACGCCCAGAGGCTGCGGGACTGAACCCACTAGAAGAAGAGAGGAGGAAAGGGAAAAGGGGGAAGGACCCCCCGATGAACGACATCCGTCTCCAAGCGCCTTCAAGAGGAGAAGAATAGGGATCTGCACAGAGCCGCCGCGGGGTCCACCACGAGGACTCAACCTGTAGTTGTGGACGCTGCGGGCCCAGCGAAACGAGGGCCCCGAATGCGCAGAGCAAGTCTGTGACAACCGTCACCCACAAACAAACAATCAAAAGGTCATGAGCCAGCAGCGAGCACCGACCGGGGCCCCGCCCTTGCGCCTGCGCGCGAGGTAGTCCGTCGCGCAGGGAGAGGAAGAACAAGAGGAGCAACCTGACTTCTGGACGCTGTTCGAGCAGCGCTATTCCGAGATGTGACTTACTGTCTCTGCTTCAGAGCACTGGGAAAGTTGACATAAAGCAAATGCCCCACCACCACGGAGCCCCGTGGCATGTAAACAGGGCGCCCCCGCCGCACTGGCTACTCTTCACGATAAGGAGAACGAAATGCTTGTCCGACGTGTGGTCCGCCGCCGTCCAACATCCTGCAACCTGTCAGAGATGGGGGCGAAATCGTAAACCGAAGGAGGGGAGGCCAGCCGGCCGGTCTGGGCCCGTCCAACACGTCACTCTGCCAGGACGCTGGGATTCCGCACACGCACATACAGAAGCGCAAAGGAGAAAGAAGACGGGCACAAGGGAGAGACAACTGGTCGACATTGCGCGGCGCGCAGCAATCGCTCCGAAATGAATGTGGGCACGGCGACAACATGTACCATCATAAGCGTGAAAGGAAGAAAAGAAGGACGCATGGGTGGGAAGGGAGAAGCAATGGATGGATGGATATGGGGAAGGACAACAGAAAGCGAGAAGAGGAGGGCGTCGAAGTGCACCTGCGGGGGCGCCCCACCCCGACGCAAAACGACGTGAGAGAATGGAATAGAGAGCTGGATAATGAGGGACACATCGAGAAGTCTCAGTCGCGTTAGAAGCTCTGCGACAGCAATGTGCAGCTGCGCCCAGCCAAGGCGACGAGGGCGCAGCAGGTGTCGCCACCGGCGGGGAGGACGCCAGATCAGCTTCCAACAGAGGCAATCAACGATGGATCACAAAACGCATAAACAATGGGCAAAGAGGGTCGTCACATCATCTGAAGCAATCGCGCCGTCCTCCGAATGGCGCCGAAGGCCGCATGAAGAAATGACGTAGCACACGCCCTCAGAGACTGACAGCGTCGGTCTCGCAACTCTGGCAAAGCGGCTGATAACCTGTGAGAGGAGCGATCGGGCAATGCTACCAGTCTGCTATACCCACCCCCTGCGGGATGGCGCCTGCATAGGGCACATGGCCGCAGGACACCCCGCAGAGACGCATGCGCCTTGAGGGTCACGCACAGAGAGGAGTCTGCAGGTGTCGCCACCGGCCTGGCCTGGGACGTCTCCCACAGAAACGGCCCAAGAGGCCTCCAAGAGGGCCCCAAACGGCCCAAGAGGGCCCTAAGACGGCCCAGAGGCGCCCAAGACGGCCCAAGACGGCCTAAAAGACGGCTCCAAGATGGATGGGGGACCCGAACGGACAATTCGAGCCCTCGGCCCCGACGGGCCTCCAGGAGGTCCCAAGAGGCCCCCAACAGGCCCCCACGAGGCCCCAAGAGGTCCCCATGAAGCCCCCAAGAGGCCCCCAAGAGGCCCCCAAAGAGGCCCCGAAACTGCCCCCGAGAGGTCCCCGAGAGCGCTCCGAAGAGACTCCAAGAAGCATCCCTCGGAACTCGGACCCACAACCCGGGCACGGTGGCGGGATGGGCCGATGGGCCATCGGATGCTGTTGAAGGCGCCCAGAAGCCCACTTGGGGCGGCGTTCCGAGGCCCGTCGCGTGACTCCCGGGGTGTGCCGCCCGACTTGTCCCGAAGCCACAGAGCCCCCAGACGGCCGGAAACGGCCTCCCAAAGGCTCAGGAAGCCCCCCAGACGCCAAAAACAAGCCCAAGAAGGAGAGCACCAGGAGGCGAAACAATACTCGATGTCCTTCCCAACTGCGTTTGGAACTTTTCTGGCGCCCGACATCCCGAAATGGCCCAAGCGGCGCCCAGGATCGCCCCGAGGCCGCCGAAAGAACCCCCCCAGAAGGAGTCCAAGACGGCCCACCAAAAAGTCCCCAAACAACTCCCCAATACCGCCAACTGTGCCCCCAGGAGCTCCTCGGGAGTTCCCGTGAGCCCCGCACGGGCTTCCGAGGGGCAGGAGAAGACCTTCCCTCGCCCGTCCCGCTGACACCTTTCCCCCTCCCCCGCGCGCGCGCGCCGCAGGAAGGGCGCCTCTTGCCCTTCATGCCGGGCAGCGAGGACAGGTCCTGCGCCAGCGCGGCGAGCGGGCGTGCACGTGCGCGCGCGGCGAAGAAGCGCCGGCGTCGGAAGGACGCCTTCAGACGAGTCGACCAGCGGGAGCTGGACACGTGCCCGCCGGCCCTGCTCAGACCTGTCCTGGGCCCAGGGTCGTGGCATGCGATGCCTTTGAGCAAGCAACGACATGCGTACATGTACGCCCTCCGCGGTCTTGCGTGCACCAACCTCCGCGTTCAAACGCCATTCGGCGGAAACAAACCGCGTACATGTACATATGTTATTGCCCTCTGAGCCTTGGCGAACGGGGGCACGCGAGGGCACGTCACCCGAGGAGGGCGCAGGAACCGATCTGTCGCCCAAGACTGGCCTGGCCAGGGTCGGCGCGCATGCCCCGAACAGGGCAAGGCAAAAGAAAGAAGATCTTTGATCAGAGATCACCACAAATATCAAAAAAACAAACAACAACAACAAAAAAACAATAAACAACAACAACAACCACAACAACAACAACAACAACAACAACAACAACAACAACAACAACAATCATTTTACCCGAACGCTCAGTGTTCTCCCCAGTGCCAGGGTTTTCATGCGACGCCAGCCAATACCCCCACTTCGTGGGGGGGCAATGCAAGCTCTACCAAACATCCACACGACTCTCGGGAACCACCCACACCCAGCTTCCCGCCCTATGACGTCAGGACACTTCACTTCGTGGCGCGCGGACGATCGTGGATACTACACTGGCGTGGAGTACACACCCGCAGAGGTTGATCACTTGTTTGGGCCCCGCATGTGCCCCGCATGGTGCATTTGTTGCGTATGACATACATAGTACAGAGAGACAGAGAGAGAGAGAGAGAGAGAGAGAGAGAGAGCAAGACAGAGAGCCAGTGGAGAGAGAGATAGAAAGAGATTCGTCACATGTGTGAGGCAACCTGAGAAGATGTGGTACACGGTACACGTGAGATGGTACGCAGTGCCAAGATAGTTGGTCACATTTTTGAGGCAAATTCGGAACATCGCATCTTGAAATTATTGAAATCACATTATGTTTGGCAGGATTTCGGCACGCGCGCGCGGCGGCCGCGCGCATGTGCACTTCGTGTCATTTTTTGCAAGGGATGGTGGCCCTCGTAGGCTCGCAACCGTTGTTGCAGAAGGTCGAAGCACCTGAAAAGGTTCCTCGCAAAGGCCCTTTTAACAGAAATGTTTAAAATCTGGTGGGTTTCCTAGGAATCCGCAAGAGCGCGCGGAAGGACATTTTGACAATTTTTTCTGAGAAAACCATTGGGTTTTTGATGTTTTTATGTTAAAATCGCTACGAAACCTAAGGTTTTGGAAGGATTTCGTCTTGCGCGCACGAATGTCCACTTTACCTTATTTTTTGCAAGGGATTCTTGCAATTTGATCAAGTAAAAACAAGAATTTTCATTTTCTATTGTTTTTTGCAAGGGAAAACGAGCGTCAACAAAAAACCGGATCCGGAGCTCATCCACTTTTCTGAAGCTTTCGCGAAAAAATGATGAAAATGTAGCTGCGGCCTAGGCGCGGCGCAGAGGTCGCGCACCAGGGGTCCCAACAATAATAATTCTTTAGAAGGAATAATGTTCAACAACAACAACAACAACAACAACAACAACAACAACAACAGCAGCAGCAGCAGCAGCAGCAACAACAACAACAACAGCAGCAGCAGCAGCAGCAGCAGCAGCAGCAACAACAACAACACAAAGAAAAACATGAGAGAACAGTCAACCAGCGGTGAATGTCAATGCCTTACATCCGCTGGCGACTTCATACGTTGACGACAGGCCCATGCGATGATGGTCTTTCGAAGGGGCGATCCTTGTAGCAAATGACCCTGGCAATGTACTCAATAGTTGCGCAACGCGTGGCCAAAACAGCATGGTTAACTTTACAAGAAGTTATCACGTGGCAATGGGTAAACTTTCTGCGAGCGTTACTTGGGAGGCTCGCGAGGCGCGCGACTCGCAGGACAGCGATCGATGGACAAAGGCTTGATAGATATGAATACTTATTCCCCGGGCCCGGGCCCGACGGGAACAAGGGGCGAAGACTGACACGATAAGGTGGGCGATGATACTCAAAATCAGCGGTGCAGCAACACGAGGACGTGGCAACAGGACGGAGGGAAGTGACGACAAGAGAAAGGCAGAGGAAAGAGAAATACTATGTTCCGAAGCACGCCACCAATCGGTCATGGTCAGTGCAAGAACTACGCGAGGCCGAACTGCTCTGCCAACTGCTGGGCCTCTTCTCGCCATTCTCCAACGCAGGACATAAAAGCGCGCAGGCGCGCCGCGAGGTCTCATCTGAGTTTGCGTCCCGATGCTGGACCCCCCAGCAGCCCTCGAAAGTGGCGACAGATTCGCGGATCGCAGCCCCCAAGGGATGGCGAGGTCGGATCTGAATTCGCGTAGGACGTCACTCTGCTGGGCCCCCCAGCAACCCTCGAAAGTGGCGACAGATTCGCGGATCGCAGCCCCCAAGAGGTGGCGAAGTCGAGTCCGAGTCTGGATATGGCCCCACTGTGCTGGCCCCCCCAACAGGCCTCGAAAGTGGCGACAGATTCGCAGATCGCAGCCCCCCATGGGTGGCGAAGTCTAACAGGAGTCCGGGTATGGCCCCACTGCGCGCCCCACCCCCTAGCAGCCCTCGAAAATCTACATGCTCGCTGATCGCAGCCGCCCAGGGATGGCGAGGTCGAATCTGAGTCTGGGTATGGCCCCTCTGTGCTGGCCCCCCCAGCAGCCCTCGAAAGTGGCGACAGTTTTGCAGATCGCAGCCCCCCAGGGGTGGCAAGGTCGGAGGCAGGTACGAGAGAAGTACGAAACCAGACGAGAGGGGTAGAGAAAGAGAGAGAGAGAGAGGAGGGAGGCAGGAGGGAGGCGGGAAGAAGGACGCAACCACAGTGCTCTGTGCAAGACGAGAACCCGACAACGGAGGATTGGAAAAAGAAAGCATACAGCGACTTTCGAGGGGAGTTGGGACTGAAGGGTGTATTGCAGCGTCGCTGGTGCATCTTGGGTTCACTCTGTTCTGGATCATCCTCCTAGTCGTGCGTCTTCTCCTTTGTTCGTTCCTCCCTCCCGCCCTCTCCCTCTCCTCCTCTCCTCCTCTCCCTCATTTGTTTGTCACCGTGCCTCCTCGTTTTGTAATTGAGTGCAACCGTTCGCACATTACAGACGCCATCAGGACGCCTTGCGGCACAGTATCTGTGCACATGTTCGCAAGTTGCGGGCAAACAAGACCCTACCCCCTCCTCTCCCCCCTCCCCTCCCTCCCTCCCTCCCTCCCTCCCTCCTGCCCCCCTGTGTCAGGGCATGGAGCGTGGACCGAAGAAGATCTGGAGGAAGGTACCCGCGTCTGAGGAGCCAGCCTGGAGCCGGACCTGCCTCTACAGTTGACGTTGTTGCCCGGGGCGGGAATGCAGGAAGCTGTTACTATGCGATCATAATTTCGGCTGTACGTTCGAGTTTCTGATCAGTTGGCCGCCCAGACCAGCGACCGTCTGGAGCGACGCGATGGGCTGCCTGCTGGCGCGGCTCGAGGCCCCCGGCAGACCCGCGGCCAGGTCCGACAGCCTGCACCACGCAACTGCAGGGGCTGCCCGCGGCCGGGTGCAGAGATGTGCTTCGCTTCTTCCCTATCCTCTTTGATTTGGGCGTTGGTAGAACTGGGTTTAGCGGAACCTGGTTTAGTGATCTGTACCGGAGGCGCCCCCCCGTCCCATTTCCACGAACCGGAGCTGCCGTCACCCGAAGAAACACAAGCTATGGCCAGCCTGGTTTAGTGGTTCTGGCCAATTCAGGGGCTCCGGGGCCCTACCACTAACCGGGTCCCCTTACCCGGGGTCCTGGCCATACCCGATTGATGGCCGACAGCGTATACATGTAGGGGCAGGCACAAAACATGAGCACGCCAGTTTGCATCTCTGGTTCCTGGAAAAGCCCCAAGGAGCGTCCCAGAATCTGGGACCTCGCAGCTGGATATAGGAGTCCGCGTCAGGGCAGCATAGCCAGTCGCGCGGCTCTGAGGGGAATGCGGTGCGACCCCGCGCCTGCATGAACCTGGGGGCGGGGATCAATCCAAATGCGGTGCGAACCCACGCCTGCATGCGAATTGTTCCCCGGTATAGCTTTAGGACGGGCATGTCCCCCTACAGGCGGATTTTGGACGAAAATAAAGAATAGTCAAAGAATACTCCAAAATGGTCCAAAATAGTCACAAACAAAAAAATCGTCCCAGGCTACTTTTTCACTATTTTCAAAGATTCCTCCTGTAGAGGGACAGGCCCGACTTAAGTGTAGCTCCGCTGGCCACTGTCGCCCAAGTGAGGGGTGGCACAACAGCTCACACCTCCTCCATCCACGCAGGGAGGCCCAGGGTGGCCGCTCCAGAGGGCGACGACGTCAGAGGTGAACCATCATTCGAGGGAGTCTCTGTGGAATTCACCTCCTGACCCCTGGCGCGCGAAGGCATGGGCCCGCCAACTGCCCCCAGGGAGTATCTCCGGGGAGGCGCCAGCTGCGCCGGGCGGCCGAGCCCAATCGAGCGAGAAATCCTCGCAGAATCGCCCCACAGCCCCCGCGACGCCTCCAAGGACCATTTCCGGGGATGCGCCGGACGCGCCGAGCGATTCCTAATGAGGCGATCTCGCTCGAGACATCCTCGCGAAAACGCCGCACGGGCCCCCACCGCGCCTGGAGGGACCATTTCCAGGGATGCGCCGGGCGAATCCCAATCTGGCGATCTCGCTGACGATATCCTCGCAAAATCGCCCCACGGACCCCCCACCAACGCCTCCAGGGCTATTTCCGCGGATGCGCCGGGCGCGCCGGGCGAGCCCCAATCTGGCGATCTCGCTCGAGACAACCTCACAAAATCGCCCCCGCGTGACCCTCACTCTCCTGATCCTCACCCTCGTGATCCTCATCCTCCTGATCCTCACCCACTGCACCACCGCCGCCCCCTCAGTCTCACC